TCCTTTTCAAAACAGAATTTTCCGTTACTTTCCGCAACAAAACTTCGTACGTAATAGAAAATTTCTAACTGTCACTAGCGAAATTTTTCTGCGTATATTACTTATTGACACTAACCGATTAGCGCCCAAAGGTCCTAAAATATTAGCCTTACTTTGCAACTGTATTTTATGTAGAGAAACATATTATATAAAGTTAGAATAGCATTTCTTTATGTTTTCAGGGTCGTTCTACATGATTCCGGCATCAGAATTCGTTTAGATTCTCAATAAAATCCAATTTGGCGGAATTTTTGGAAAAAAGTCGTGAAAAATCGACATCGATTTTATTTTTTATAAGCTTGATTTCGTATCAAAAACGTTACTTTGATACAGATACAATCTCATTTATTTAATAATTTTTCTGAAAACTTTACGTGGTCGATTCCAATTTTTTCCCGTCCGTTGTATTTATCTCGATGTTTTTCATGTTTTTTACAAAGTTTATAGGTTTATAATTACCCACCCTGTATATGTGCGTGTGTACGTCTTGAAAATAATTCATGAATATGAAAATAATAGAAGAAAATTCATGAAAATCTGGAAATTTTCACGATTATTCGTGCCTTTTAGTCGCCATATTGAATCCGCCATGTTGAAATTCTCTAATATGAATTAGTTGTCAGCAAATATCCTAAAATCAGTACCCTGGATACTAAATTGATGCTAAATACTAGCATTTTGCGAAGTTATTCTAAAGATACATTATTTTTTAAGTTTTTTTCGCTCAAACCGTCATTTTCAGGTAGCCATCTTGAATTCATATTTTCACCAATGCATACCGTGAAAGTTCAACATTTTTGAGACAAGATGTGACACTTGTATCTGTATCAAAGTAACGTTTCTGATACGAAATCAAGCTTATAAAAAATAAAATTGTCGATTTTTCACGACTTTTTTCCAAAAATTCCGCCATATTGAATTTTATTGTGTATCTAAACGAATTCTGATGACGGAATCATGTAGAACGACCCCGAAAACATAAGGAAACGCTATTCCAACTTTATATAATATGTTTCTCTATATAAAACACAGCTGCAAAGTAAGGCTAATATTTTAGGACTTTTGGGCTAATGGGTTAATGGGTTAATAGGGCTCGTTTTGAAGTAATAAACTTCTCTTTCTCTCTTTCTCTCTCTCTCTCTCTCTCTCTCTCTCTCTCTGTGTCTGTCTGTCTGTCTGTCTGTCTCTCTGTTTCTCTCTGTCTGTCTCTCTGTCTCTCGCGTGCACGTGCGCCCTCAGAATTGATCTTTTGCGTGAATAACGAACGGATGTTCGGCATATGATAGGGTCCTTGGGCGTTCCTCCTCGAAGGAGGTTCCTCAACCGTTTAGCACCTTGCGCGACAGACCGCGACCGTTAATTTCGCGACTGCTTCGCGTGCGACTCTCTCCGAACTTTATTAAAGCCAATTAAACCGGCAAGAAACTTGAAAGCGTACAGTCGTGCCGGCGGGGTGTACACTGTACGTAAATGCAAACTCACAATTTGTCACCATAGCGCACCTAATCTCGCGGGACATCCGTCGTAAATTCACCACTCGAATGATGCGCGAAGTCGTTCGGTGCACGCGAAACTTCGTTAAGGATATACGAGTCATTTGCTTATTTCGGCATTACGTCGCGCGTGGCTTGACAGGAGTTCCAAGTGCGAATGCTCTTATGGTGTGATCGAATGGCAGTGATATATTCGGGCAAGATGTGTTGTAAAAAAATTAAGGATACATAAGAGGATAATGACTAACGCACTATAATGACACTAGGACAGGGTTTCTCAACCTTTTTCACACCCCTCAAAATTTATTAATGAACCTTCATATCTTCTACAAAAAAAAATTATTCGTATTTACGTTAAAAATTAGTTGTTAGAGTTTTAAGGTAAGAAGTTAATTTATAATAATTTATTATTATAAAGTATTGTTTTATAGAAATTAACTATTATTCTAATATAAAATTATTATCCATGGTATCAAGTTTCGCATAGTGATACGTAATGAATATATACGTACATATAGATGCGTAAAAAATATATAATTTTAATAACATTTTTTTTAATTTGACGATACGAATGTCATTATTCCAGAATTCATCTTGATCGTTATTAGTTACAATCACTTTTCCTCGCACCTCCAAGAATGTTTTTTCGCACCCCGATTGGGAACCCGTGCACTAGGATGTGATAGTAATATTACGTGTTACTTGAATTTAGTGTAACGATATTGTATATGCTTACGACATGAATATCTCTTTTGAGAACTACAGTCCAAATGCATATTTTAATTTCAAAGTGGCGTAAAAGCTTTGAGAGACGTGTTACCTATAAGACTTACCTATAATAGAAAAAATTACCTATAATAGAAGAAGGTATCCAAGATTAAACTGCACACTAATGAAAATTCGACACTATTGAAAAGATGGAAGAAGTAAAAATTAGAAAGCTGAAAAGGTGGGATATAATACGTATCAACGAGAAAATTCAAAGGATGTTAGTAAATAACACAAGCAATAAGATACAGACCTGTATATGTTTATTTTTGAAGAAGTACTCGTACGGTGTATTATTTAAATAGACAAATCACCTATTCTGTATGTGAAAAAGTTGCAGTTACTTATTAAAAGTTTTCATGCAAAAAAATGTCATGCGGATGAAACATAACGAGTAAAAAAAAAAACGATAGCAAACATAAGACAAAAACAAACAGAAGAAAAACATGAGAATTGATTACACATTGATATATCAAATTATTTGATATATCATATTTTTTATATATACTTTACACAACGATCCGTATTATCAGCGGGTCTTGCGTGACAAGCAGTACTTTCTCGTGTTGTTGAGATTAGGAATAACAATCGCATGCATGGTAAAACGTTATCGATATAATTATATTGACAGCAGACAAATATAAATATTCATAAACTTTAAATAAGCAACAACTCGTTTGCTGTCGCGTCCAATCTTTCAGAAAAAAGTCCAAATTTTCAGAAGAGTAAAAACGTATAAATTTTGTGTTTTTTATACGTTTCTCGGCTGGCGCTCAGCGATACACACGATGAGTTTCATAACAAATGTAACAACTTTCAATAGTTGCTCCCAGAGTGCATTTCTAGAAAAACTAAGTCGCCGTTCCACATTACCTACCCGTTCCATGTATACGGAGCCGTTATATTCTACTTGTTAGCACCCCACTTATCAGTTACCCTACGTAGTTAGTCCATTAATTAGCGATTCTTTTTGAGGTGTAAGATTGCGAAGAGAGACGGCTCGTTAAAGAGCATAAATTCGCTACATCGTGCGACGGATTTGTACGTTAATGGACGCAAATGAAGTTAATAATTCATCCTTTTGTGCCGAGCAATGTTCTAAATTGAACGGTCAGTAGAAACAGACGAAGTAGGTCGGACGGCTACATATCGAGAATTAAAAAAAAGAAAAAAAAGAGAGGAGGAAGAGGAAGAAAAAGAGAAAGAAAAAAAAAAAGAGGGGGAAATTGACGCGAAAAGGGGTATACGTATATTTAATAAATTTTCACGGGGGAAAATTGTGACAGAGAGCGAGAGAGAGAGAGAGAGAGAGAGAGAGAGAGAGAGAGAGAGAGAGAGAGAGAGAGATCGATAAAGAATTTGCAGGAAAATGGAGCAGGAGCGGCGAGCAAAAAGAGAATAAGCTCTTCTCGAGCTACAGAATAGAGATTTCAGAATAAAAGCGAAGCATTGTACCGCGATGCAGTAGCGCGCGAATCATACACGGTCGTCGAAAACTCGAAACTCTATTCGTAATAGAAGCGCGCGATTCTCCACGAGCCAGACACGTATAAGATTTCACTCCGGATTGCGATTTCCATCCCGCGGAGCGAAAGGCTCCGGAGCGAGCTCGCCGTGAATGAATGAACACCCCCCGTGCTCGAGCCATAAATTTAGCGCCGGATATATCTATCTTGTTTTCATCCGGCGTTAATTCCGACTATAATCGCCGCGCATGATATTCTTGCGCTTTGTCGACGGGCTAATATCCGCCGCGCTGCTTCGCGCGCGCGCGTCAACGGGAATAAACCAACGTTCGGACGAGGAGCATGATGTAGCGGCCATAAGTAACACCTTCGCCACCGACCGGAAGACATCGCGGTCGGAATAGCGCGTAGCGGCACACACGCATTCATTCGCCTGAATCTTCGACCTAGCCTCCTCTCTGGCGCAAAAATCGCCGGCGGCGGCTTCCGCCGCGTCGGGTCAACGGCGCGACACGAAGGAAGATACGCGGCGCGGCGAGAGCGCGGCGGACACGGGAAATAAAGAATGCGATAAAAGAACGCGATAGAGCACTGGCGGGAGTCTCCGCGGGAGACGCGGGGAAGCGTAAAGCAGAGTAAGAAGAGGGATGACGAAGAATAAGACCGAGCGCGAAGTACAGAGCGCGTCGGTCGGTCGGGGGATGAAACGGCGGGGGATATAACGCCTCGCGCGCGCGGCGCGGCGGCGAACGACGAGGGGTGGCAGCGGGGGTGCGAGTGTTCGCGCGCGCGAGGGGTTCCTGCGGAGGGGGGGGGTGAGAGCGGGTGGCGAAGGGGCGAGAGATGGAGGAGAGGGAGAGAGGATTTTGCGAGAGAGCGCGCAGCGCGCGCGGAAGGGCCGGGGGAGGGGTGGCGCCGCGGGCCGCGCCGTCGCCCAGCATCCCTCGTTTCCACCCGCCCACCCTCGTAACGGCGCACCCTCACGCCGAGAGTATCTGCTGGTAGTCATACGCTGGCCCGTTGCGCGAGCCCGCTGATATAACTGCGCTGCTCTCGCTCCTCCCTGTGTGTGCGACTTGCGTTTGAGGACTGGTGCGACACGGTGTGACGAGCGCGTGTTCCGCGATTACGACTGACTGCGCGTCGCGGGAGGGTGCGTTTTTCTCTCTTTCTCTTTCTCTCTCTCTCTTTCTTTCTCTCTTTCTCTCTCTCTCTCTCTCTTTCTCCCTCTCTCTCGCTCTCTCTCTATCTCTCTCGCTCTCTCTGTCCCGTGTGACTTTCCTTCTGTGTTCGCGCGCCGGCGAAAGGCGCGAAAAAGCGCCTCATGAGTGAACATCACTTCGCTTGACCTGCGTGTGCGGTCTGTGGGGGTTGTTCGCGCGCGTCTTCTGCTCGGGACTGTGGGCCTCGACAGGGAAAGCTGACAGCACCCGCCGAAGACCACCGCCACCGCGGCGCGGCGCGGCGTCGGCGTCTCCCATCTGTGTCCGTCTCGGCGGAGAACGTCGTCGGCAGCACATCAGGCGGCGTTCTCGCTCACATGGTCTGTGTTTTGTTTCCGTGAGCGCGTCTCGCCGCAGCCCTCGTGGCTCCCTCTCGGCCGCTGCCACTCTCTCTCGCGGCTCGTCGCATCCGCCACCGCATCATCGCCGTCGCCGGAAGCGCGCGCGCTTCGGCGGTCTCGCGAGGGAGACCGGCCTGTTTGTTTCCGCGACGCGGCAGGCAGGCGCGCGCGGCCGCTGCGACGACACGGGATGACGCTCGGACGACTTGGCCAGTGGTGTTGTCGGTGAAATGCGCGAGTCGCCGGAACCGCCGTTCGTCCGCTGACCGTAGAATCATCGGCGAGAGACGCTCGCGCGACTCATCTCGTTCGGGTGGCCGCGTGTGTGTGTGTGATTGACATTATTCCGAACGAGCGGACTGCTGTAATATCGAGGGGGTTCGGCTTCGGATCACGTTCTCTCCGTCACTCTCGCTCTCGTTCGCTCCCGCCCCTCGCACCCCCGTCCGCCCTCTGCCTCTGGTTGCGCCTCGGCTCGGCGGCGAAGCGGAATATTCGCGGACAGACGAGTGCAACGTCACTTGACTTGGTTGCGTTAAGCTGACATCGCAGCCCCGCAGCAACGCTTCGTCCGCTGACGTCCAACCTGCGGACGCGCAGAGTGCGCTGAACAGGACCCGCTCGCAGGCAGCGCGCAGCAGAAGGTTCAAGGCGGAGGCGCGCTCTCGCTTCATCGTACTCGACTCCTCGTCCCGGCGAGCCGAGACTGTCCGTTGACAGGCCGCTCGGGATCCTTGACGAGAGAGAGAGAGAGAGAGAGAGAGAAAGAGAGAGAGAGAGAGAGAGAGAGAGCGCGCGCGCGCGGCGACCGAGCGGGAGATGGATACATTGATGATCATCAGTATGTGCTTCCTGTGCTACGGCTTGTTCGACCTGCTGATGCGCTACTCCGTCCAGCAGCCGATGGAGGCGCATCGGCCGGCGGACAAGAACGCGGCGTCCTCCTCCTCCTCCTCCCCGCAGAGAGTGTACTCGATCTCCGGCAAGATTCAAGAACCACCCCCCGCCTGTTGCCCGCAGTAGATCGCGCGGTAGTGCGATCGTCCCGGCGCGCGAGTGTGCGAGCTTCCGCTCCAAGTCGCGCGAGCTGAAGTCGCGCACGCCGCTTTCCCTCTCGCGTTTTTTCAACCGAGCGCGCGCTTGTCCTGTCGGCTGCAATCGGCTCTCACTCCGCGTTCAGTGTGAGTTACAGCCGACGGGGGAGGTCTTCGGGGGAGAGCCTCCGGCGGATGTGCGCGCCGGCCAAGTTGGCGCAAATGGATGGCCATACGATATGGATTTGCAGCCCCGCACAGTGATAACGGAGACGCCCGTCTCAGAGATTCATGATGTTTACGGATCGGCAGCGAGCAGCGGGCTCGATAATGAGTATTCGTCAGTCGCGTTGCGCTCTCCGGCCGACGGATTCGGACGCACCGAGGCCGCTCTGAGATGACGAGACCGCAGAGACACGCTGATGGACACCAGGAACGACGGCTCGCGCGGCGCTTAATAGGGACTTAATAGGGACGTTGCTTCGTTCGCGTTGATAAACGCGTTGTAATCGACAAGCGGATGACGACGAGTAGTCGCCGGTAGATAATTCCTCGGGCAGTTTCACTCGTCTCTCGGCACCTGCCGAGGCGGGCTCACGCTCGTCCAGCAAGACCCCTTAGGCGAGATAAGTCCGACGATCTGCGAGCGACTTTATCGAGCGCTCGGCTCGCGTAGCCGGAGGAAGTTAGCGCGTCGTCTCGACTCGCTGAGAAATACTTGCCGCTTCGTCGTTTACGCTTTTGGGTCCCGGTAAGTGATATATCGATTGAGACGTCGCGGTTGGTAGCCTGCGACCAACGCGAGAGGACGGCAAACTCGCCGCCGACGAACTCTTCGCTACGTGCCGGTGAATGCAAACTCGGAGTGAGTGAGTGAGTCGAGTCGAGCGGCGAGCGCCGATCCACCGCAGGAAGTCGAGCGGCGTCTAAACAAGAAGTGAAGTTTCTTTTGTGTACGTCAGCGTGCAGAGAGCGACGTTATCGCGGGGATAGTGCTACGTCGTTTCCCGGACCATATAACACGACTCTCCCACCCGCGTTTAACACTCGCGGGGCGAGGAGGAGTGCGCGGCAATGTCGCTTAACGTGATTGTGTGTGTGTTCACTGCCCGTAATTCAATCCTGACATCCTTGACTGCCGAAAAGTTCCCATAGATAGACTTTACAGTCGCTCGCTCGCTCGCTCGCTCGTTCGCTCGCTCGCACGCTCGCGCGCGCGCGCGCGCGCACGGCTGATTCCACTCGTCGTCGTTGTCATCCCAACACGAGTACCTGCGCGTCTCGCATCGTGATATCCCGGAGAGGATATCTAAAATTGTCAACGAAGCAAGTGAAAGCGGAGCGCCGACTTGGTCTCTCGACGGTCCGGCTGACCTTTCGCCACGACAGCGCGACGTTATTAATAAATACGGTATTCTCCCGACGCGCACGCTGTCAACGGGACGGGCCGCCCTGTTGTCCTCGGCTGAAACGACACTCGCGCTCCTCTTAGCCGCGCTTTGTTCAGCCGCGAAATCGCGAACGAGAATACCGTAAATTAAGCCACGCTCGGCGACGCTCGTCCTCCCCGTGGCGTGGCGTATGACGTGATTCTCGCTGCGCGCTTCAAACCGCCGATCGACCGTGCTGACTCTCAAGCCCACCTATACCGGAAGGTTCAGCGCGAGCTGTCGTCTGCCGGCCGACGATTCGTTCGTCAATGCAGCAAGGAAGAGGGACGGACCGTGACTGATGCTCGACCTTAGCTTAGCTCTTGGAACTTTGGCATTGGGACCTCGTCGCAACCTCGCTCCTGCGTGACACCGCCTCTCGTCCTCTCGCCCTCTCGCCCGACAACAGCCCGACGTAGCCCGTGCGAGATCGAAACGACGAGTTATCGAGGACTCGAGGAGAAGACATGGACTCGCTGGAGCGTCTCATGAGCGCCGGTTCTCACCACCCGACTCTCGCGACAGCCACGCGATCGCAGAATGCCTTTGTGCAGGCCAACCTCTGCTCCGTGATAGGCCGCAAAGGGCGGCATCTCACCGGCACCTTTTGTTTAAACGGGGACACGATGGAAGGCATCATACAATGCTTAGTCTTCCTCAAAGCTTTCTCGGTAAGGGAGCCATTTTCCTCTCTTCGCGCGAGCCCGCGTCGCAATCTCTAAATGAGAAGACGATACTCCTCGAGGGATCATTGTTTTTCCATCGCATTTCGCCACTTTCGTGATTTATACCGGGATATCGGAATAACATTATCGCGAAACGACTTCGAAATTATCGCGGTTGCGTCTATCGTGGCTACGCGTTTCTAGCGGAGGATTGCTCCTCTCGCGATGGGAAAACATACACCGAGAAATTGTATTTTCTAAGTACGAAGACTGTAGATTTTGGACTTTTTCTTCGACTTCGAAAGTCGAAAGTCTCTTTCTTCACAATATTCTTTCTTTTCGCCAATGTGTCTAGAGAATGTTCTTTGCCGGTAATAAGAAAATTGCGTCGAGCTTCATCGTGTGCCAGTTTGGTGTAGTCTCCGTTGTGTCGTTTGACGTTCACGAAGAAAATGAGCAAGGGGTGACTTAGGAAGAGACTTAAGCCCGATGGCGCTAACATTATTTTGATTTTAAACGAGACTCAAACGTGTGTCTGTCTTTATTTATTTAGAAAGGAAGATAAAGACAGATTTTCGTTTAAGTCTCGCTTGAAACTAAAATAATATCGACGCAACCTGGCCTTAGCCGATTTAATGGGAATATTTAAAATGCATATAAGCAGGGTTGGGAAGTAATTTACGAGTAACTCGTTATTTGTAAGTTACTTGTACGTTACAGTTATAGTTATTTGTAACTCGTTATTTGTAAGTTACAGTTATAGTTACATTTTTTTTTTTTTAATTATAACTTCGTTCCGTTTTTTCCATCTATAATTACAACTTAACTTAGTTACATTTGTTTAATAATTAGTAACTAATTTAATAGTTACTTTATATATTTTATACTTAAGTTTCTGGCAGATAACGTTCTAGCACGATAATGCAACGTGCGATGCTTGATATCCAATAAGCATACAGTTATTTTGGCTGAATTTGAAAAACGCGCTATTGCTGTCTTTATCGTTCGTTAGATATAAAACAAGGATAAAATGACGCAATAGCGCTGATAGCCTCCCCTCCGAACGCAAACTGTATTTCTTTCAAAAGAATTGTACGCCTATTGGACATTTTCGTCGCGCGTTGCTACTCCTTATTTGTTAACATAACCTGAATTTAGCGTGAAGTGCGCTGCGTGGTTTCAATTATATAAAGAATTCAAGCAATGGATAAAACATCTCAATCTTCGGAGAAGGATTGTAAAATACTATGGCCAGCATATGCAGAAATACATTTGAGTTACAGTAAAAATTTGGAAATGAAAACAACTGGACATTTCTCTGCAAAACATGCGCTGACAAAGAGATTATTTATGCAAATAAAACTTCAACTGCAAATTTAAGAAAACATATGAGTGTAAGTCTTTATTTATAAAATATCAATATATTTCTTGGTGAAAAAATCTAATTTTTGATGTTAAAATTATTTTTAATATTTTTAGTGTTTATTAGATCCTCATCAAATTCATTCACTTTCTTATAATTGTTATTAATAGTCTTAAAGAATAAATATGAATTGCTTATTTAAATTAATGAATCTAATATGTAAGAATTATATGAATACAATATATGAGGAATGTATATAATAATCGAGACTTTTATAATAATAACTATTTTTATATAAAATTGAAAGAATTCACACAATTTACACAAACGAAATTTAAAATAATAGCGCAATTATCGTAAAAAAGAACTGAATAGTAACGACTCGTTACTTTCTAAATAACTATAACTGTAACATGTTATTTCTGAAGGTCAGTAACTTGTAACTGTAACTAGTTATTTTTTCACTGAACAAAAACTGTAACTGTTACTAGATACTTTTACAAAGTAACTGTCCCAACCTTGCATATAAGATATTTAATATTAATCGTGATTGCCTAATATTAATCGTGAACTTGTCTGGCTGGATCTCTCAACAATTATCGAGACCGATAACTTCAATAATAATTTTAATTTTCCCAAATGCGCGTCTCATAAAGCTTCGCTTCGCGATACGGTAATTATCATAATCGAGAACATAACCTAAATTACATGATCTTACATGTTGCAAGAATATTCGATACTTAAGGACTTTTGCCGAGGAAAAAGAATTTTTCTTTCGATCTACGAAGCTACTTTGAATGCCTGAGCATAAGTGGGAAAGTCTTCCCTTAAGACGAAAATATGAATTTTCGGTGTATCCTTAAGAGGCAAACGAGTCAAAGCTCCCATATAATTGATACCTCTTAAAATAACGAGGCGTCTTACGTAGCCGGCCGCTGAAAAAGCGGATGAACAGCGGGAGCTAAAGCTAAATCGTCGATAATGAGAATTCGGCGTCGAGTGGAATTATCCTCGAGTGCCGTCGCTGTCGTAAACTGGAAACGGCTTCCAGTGCCCAGATAGATAGGGAGACAACTCGCGCCAGTTCAGCCCCCATTAAGAAAAAGCCCGTCGCACCGAAAGGAAATTTCTGTCTTCGCATGCTATTCTTGACACTTGTCTTTGGAACGGATCGGAAAAATCAGCGTGACGATCGAGACTTCCGCCATGCGCGTCGCGTTTAATTTTCTTTTCGTGACGATCAAGACAACGAGATGAAACGCGCTACCTGCCGCCGCGGCCGTGCGCGCGATCGCGTTGGTCTTTTTATAAACGTTACTCGTACATTTTTATTTTCCTCTCCTTTATATCAGCCGACTGTACACACGTGTGTTTAATTGTCAATTTGTTTACAAAAATATGCTCGTATTCATTATTATAATAAATACGCGAAGAAATGTGAAAGGGAGTAATAAGCGAACACGAGACGATGTCATGTGATCGCCGATGAGCGAAGTGCAACACGAGCACCAAAACCGACATCGTACACTGCCGATGGCTTTATTTTTAATTAATAAATAAATAAAACATGACAGATATATACTCGCTAGGATCGGGTGAAATTGTCCGTTATCGATCGATCGGGCCACCGCGCGAAAATAACCCGTCATGCGCGTCCTTCGGAGACAGATCGCTTTACGCAGCCGTGAAAACCTCCCGCGTAAAACGCGCGCGTTTTATTTTTACGATTTCATCGATAATAGATGCACTGCATAAAGTTACGACCGAGTTATTTACGTCCGGTTCGTGTCGACGGTCGTTAACCGTCGGCGTGTTATGAATTTCGCGGTCGATGTTGCGAATCGACGTTAGACAGGAGAGGCCAGAGGTGCCTCCTCCTTTTCCTACCCTCCTCCTACCCCGCTCGTGCGCCTCATCGAATCGATTTCGCCTTTCTGTGCTGCGTAAAATTTTCACCTCAAAAGCGAGCCTCGACGGCGCTGAAAGACGAGCATGCACTTTCCCGAAGCAATAAAGCCTCTATGTTGTTTTCAAGTCGCGCGCCGATACCCGGAGCAAAAAGCTGCGAGTAGCGCGTCTCAAGAGAAATTTAAACTCGAAATTGCCAAGAGGAATTGAGCTCGCCTTTGACGGAACCCTCTCCGTTGATTTGGCGCGCAGTACAGTCGGATGTACAGAACGTCTTGCTTAGTATCGTCTCGTCAATCTCGGCGTAATTTAATTTAATTTGCGAGCGCGTCCACTCCTCATTAAAATCTGCGCGCGCGCGCGCGCGTTTACTGCCTTTGATCAGTTGCAAAAATTAAATAACGAAAATAACGTCAAGACTGGGCGACGGACTGGCCGGGTTGAGTTACGGTCATCTGCGCGACGTGAGCAAATGGCACAGGCGGTGTTTAACGCGCGTTTTTCATATTTCGGCGAGCTCTCGCCACGCGGACGTATCTCGTCTTGCGTAATTACGTAAAATGGTTGATTCGTGCGTTTGTGTGGATGTATGAGGAATATTATCGCGTCGCGCACACACGCATCTAGGAACTTCGAAAATATCGATAATGCAGAGATGATCGTTGAAACGTCATGTCGGATAAGCGCAGACACGATCGCACTATCTCTTTCGTATTTCTTATAGAGGGTGTTCAGGGACGTGTCTTCTCAGGGGGATTTTCTCCAAACTGATTTGATATCGGTAAAAACAAATACTACAGCTACTCTTCCCTTTACTAAGTCGACTCGTGGAGCTGAGCAAAATTGTTCGAAATCTCTTCGGCCACCCTTGGGAGGTTTCTTTGGCAGATGGGTCTGTTTTTCGAATATTTTGTATACGATATGTACAAGGTGTAACATTAACATACAGATCAATATAACGGGTTGCTTACCCTTATTCGGACGATAACGCAGAAGTTGCCGAAAAAGTCACTCGTCGATCTTGTCGATAATGATATTTGCAGTGCGACTAATTTTGCACCGTAATCGTTTATGATTGTAACCGAACCTCATTGAATTAAGAATGAAAAGTCTAGAAAAGTGTGAAACAGAGAAATAAATATTACAGAATTAAGCGGAATAAGTGAGAGTAATAGTTAAAGAGATAAATAATACAACATATTTTCTGGTTTTGCATAATTTCTTAATTGCTTTCTTACGTTGAAGAGTTCGATAGAAATTGGGGACTAGAAAGAACGATAGAGAAATATTTATAAGTTTTATATACTATATTTCATCCATGTTTCTACAAAAGATCACTTCTGCAAACGTATGAATCGATTAGAAACGCAGTATAAACGCAGTATATGCGAAAATATGTTGTATTATTTATCTCTTTAATTATTTACTCTTATTTATTCTGCTTAATTCCGTAATATTTATTTCTCAGTTTCACTTTTTTAAATATTATTTTTTATTCGAAAGAGGCTCGCTCAACTCTTGTCGATAAACGGTCAGTAAACGGTTCTGTCATAACGATCGCGGTGCAAAGTTGCATTCATAAATGGGAGCGCTGCAAATATCATTATCAACAAAGTCAACGGGTGACTTTTTCGGCAACCTCTGCATTATCGCTCGAATAGAGTCAAGCAATCTATCGTACTGACCTGTATGTTGATGTTACAACTCGTATGTCTCCGTCGGGTCGAACGGAGAC